AGAGGCAGGTTATACCACTTTTCACACTTCCTTTAACAGATTATGAGATGAGGCCAGCTTCTCTGGGTGATTTAGATTTAGTTATCAGAGCAGAGAGGTCTACCTCTGCTTCATAACACCAGTAATTGTAGATTTACAATGGCTAATCCACATAGACTGCACACTATATGGGGCAATTTAGCATGGGCAATCCACCTAACCTGTACATCTTTGGATTGTGGGAGGAAAGAAAAACCAGAGCACCCAGTGAAAACCCAATCAGACACTGAGAGAATGTGCAAACTCCATACAGACAATGACCGAATGCTGGAATTGAACTTGGGCCTCTGGCACTGTGAGGTAGCAGTGTTAACCACTGAGACAACACTATACACATGCATGGAATTGAATACTTTTAGAACAACTGTCCCATCCATAACACTAGTTCTACATGAAAATCTATTCTAATTTATTAAAATAACTTTTCAACTCTTGGAAGAAAGATTTAGTTTGATCCTGAATAAGTGCATGAACAACTGAATGCAATTTACATGAACTTTTTGATTAAGATGGGGTCTCTTGTGCAATGGTAGTGTCCCTACCTCAGGATCAGAAATCCAAGTTTCGGATCCCACCTGCTCCCGAGGTGTCCAATAACATCCCTAAACAGGTTGACTATAACATACCTTAATTCAAGCAAGGACCAAGTCCTATTATTTTCCTTTCTTAATTAAATTAGAAGAGGTCAGTTCTCATTAATACCAGGGTATAAATTTGGCTGCTCAACTGGCAAGGAAGTGTTGAGATGAGGGGAGGCAAAGAATTTCTTCTTGACTGAAGCAGTTACACATTTCCAAGACAACAAGGTGCAGGGCTGGATGAACACAGCAGGCCAAGCAGCATCAAGCCCTCCTTTTCAACTTCCTTCACCCACATTTTTACATACTGTTAACAATTGCAATCCATCTCCACCTGCTGCTCCTGATATAGTCCACACGCCTACAATTATTCTGTCATTTCTCTCACCTCCCATATCTTCAATTTGTCACACATTCATAGTACCCTAACCTTACATGCAAATCTTTTTCTTTTTAGGCCACCGTTAACATTCTTGCTTTTTTTATGGTACAAGTTGGTAAACAAAATGTGGGACACAGAACATCCAAGTAGTCAGGCAACATGAGGTCCCCATTGGAGGAGTGAATGCTGACTACTGTTGGTAGATAGCATGGAAAGTAACAAGGCTACAGGACACAAATTACAGGGTACTTGCAGGTTTTACCCTCAATCCTCTTCTCACAGCTATCTCTTCTCAGACATCTTGATTGGCAAAGTGGAGCTGTGGTGTCCTGCCATTCATTTGTAGGATAAATAGTACTACTCTCAAATGTCCATCTAGAGGCACATGTGAAGGATACACAAAAATATCTCCTTGAATATAATAAATTGGTTACCAATTAGAGATTGCTGTAAATTATTTGTAATTAATATGCACCAACATCGACACTTTTTTTGTACCTTTTTGGTCATAAAGGTTAGGATTTGATATTCTAACTGTGCAGGAGTACCTTCTGCATCTGAAATATGTTTTTGTTGTAGTTTAACTACTATTAGGAAGTCACAGAAACAAAGCTTATTATCTATTTTTGTCAAATTTCTCAATGAAAACAACTGTTAATACAGTTGCTTGATAAATGTGACTGATCAGAGAGTTTTAACTTGAAACTCAGGGATAAAATGAGCAATGAAGGCCTTTATCCATGATTAAAAAATGAAGAAATTAATTCAAGTGAAAATTGGATACTTTTGAGAATGGGTGTACCATCCATAATGGCACTTTTATATGAAAAGAGATTATTTTTAAATATTCCACCTCTTTGCATTAAGATTAGTTTGCTGAACATATGTGTAAACTGGGATGAATGTATTGTTGTTGGGCTGCATTTTCCCAAAGCCTTCCCAGTTTTTGGGAGTTTCAAGGAGGGTTTCTCTCTGAGTTATCTCATACAATTCCCCATTGGTCATCTCATTATGTCAGATATCCCTAATATCAGGGTGGATGAGATGGTGGGCAAAGGTCGTTTTATTCCATAAGACTGCCAGTGAAGATCATGGCACCAGATGCTGCCAGTCTGAAGTTGCCACCTGGACCAGTGTGGTGACAATGGGTACCCGTCCTTTGTGCAAAACAGGATACAGCAGCATTTCAATGCAAGGTGTTGGTGCACTCCAAAGTGGTGAACTGCAAGTGAGTTAGAAATGTGCTATGAGGATGTGGTGAGACTGGTGCATATCCTAATGCCAACTGCTTAGGCATGTTATGACACATTTGTACAATAATTAGGATTTATGGCTCTGGGTTTTTTTTAGGTGATGTAAGGACTAGTCCTATTGATAACCCTTTTTAATTTGATTTAAGAACCTAGCTGCATGTACAACCCAGGCAACTAATTTGCTGCAGTCCTGATGGGAAAGCATTGAGGTGAGGAGAACCAGAACTGCATTTTAATTAAGGGAGCTCTGTGCACTCAAGCGTTCTCGCCATGTTTCTTTTGACACGTCTCTAATGAATGCAATCTTATTTCAATTCATCTCTAACTGCCACTGATGTCACATTCTGCACCTCCAAAAGTTGCTTATTTATTTCTTCACCCCCCCATCTCTCCAATTTGTCTCCAACAGTTTTACCCTAGCCTTACATGTACACCATCAAATAATCTCCCCAGGGCACCAGTAACACACTTCCTTTTTCTTTGTGCAGTACGAATTGGTACACACAGAACTATTCCATACACAACACTTGTTTTACACTGAAATCTTTTCCAGTATTACAAAAAAAAATCCCCTTTTCCAGAAGGATTGGCTCAGATTTGAATATGTGTCAAATTGGATGAGCACATATTGTATCTGCCTGTTTATGCAGATTCAAGGACTATATAATAATTCGTTTCCCTACCACACTAAAATTAAAATAATTAGATTAGATTTTATTGTCATGTGTACTCAAGTACTGAAGTACAGTGAAAAGTTTATACTGTCGCCGCACATGGCGCCATCTTGGTACCATCATAGAACATAAAACATAGAACAGTGCAGCACTGTACAGGCCCTTCGGCCCACAATGTTATGCCAACCTATTATCCTACTAAGATCAAACTACCCTGCATACCCTACATTTCACTATCCTCCATGTGCCTATCCAAAAGTCGCTGAAAAGTCTCTAAAGTATCTGACTCCACTACCACTGCCGGAAGCGCATTCCACACACCCACCACTCTCTGTGTAAAGATCCTACCTCTGACATTTCCCCTATACCTTCCTCCAATGACCTTAAAATTATGCCCCCTCGTAATAGTCATTTCTGCCCTGGGAAAAAGTCTCTGGCTATCCACTCTATCTATGCCTTTCATCATCTTGTACACCTCTATCAAGTCATCTCTCATCTTTCTTTGCTCCAATGAGAAAAGCCCTAGCTCCCTCAACCTTTCCTCATAAGACCTGCCCTCCAGTCCAGGCAGCATCCTGGTAAATCTCCTCTGCACCCTCTCGAAAGCTTCCACACCTTTCCTATAATGAGGTGACCAGAACCGAACACAATATTCCAAGTGTAGTCTAACTAGAGTTTTATAGAGCTGCAGCATAACCTCGCAGCTCTTAAATTCAATTCCCCTGCCAATAAAAGCCATTGTGGTACAAAAAAAGGTTAGGTACAAAGTTGTAAGAAAAACGACAGTTAAAAAGTTAAGCATCACTTCATAGAATTGTACAAAAATAGAGAAATAGGTAATAGTTTACATTAAAGTCTATTGCAGTTGAAACTAGGAAAATGAAGAAATAAGTTAAGTTCTAAAATCTTTGAGTCTCCCGCTTATCTCGCTCTGCTGTCCTCGCCGCTGCAGATACTGTCACTGCTACTGAAACTGCCGACTCTCCAATCTCCGCTGGTGCCTCAGGAATATGCCCAGCAGGATCCACTCACGTGCTGAGCCAAGATACCACCACGAGCCACCAAGAGACCAGCCAACATACCACTAAGAGACCAAGCTGACAGCCGCCGAGAGGCCAAGCCGAGAACTGCCACAAGCCGCCAAGAGGCCAGGCCAGGACCCACTGAGAGACCAAAGGGGGAAGAAAAGGTGGGAGGAAGAAGGAGCGTAGAAGCTCCAGTTGGAGCATTCTACTCCACTGCTATCTTGACCGGAAAGAAGCAGCTCAGTACTAGTCAGACTTCTAACTTGGCTAGTTCACCTTATGGGCCGTTAGGCCCAGGTGAGAAAAGGTGACTCAATTTCCCTTCTTTTTAACATGCCCTTGTAGTCACAACAAAGATTTAAGTTCTTTTTAGCATGTGGCTTTAAATTTTGCCCAATTACAATGTATTTTGCTGTATTTTGATTAAGGCAGCTCTGCACACTCAAGCTTTCTTCCAACAAAGCTGTTTCAAATGCAACCTTATTCCAATCCACCTTCACTTGCCACTACTGTCACATTCTGTACCTCCAACCATTTCTCATTTATTTCACTTCTTCACTTCCCATATCTCTCCAATTTGTCTCAACAGTTTTATTCTAGCCTTGCATGTACACCCTCAAATAATCTCCCCAGGCCTCCAGTAACACACTTCCTTTTTTTGTGTGGCGGAGGTGGGGGACTGGTACAAATTGGTACACTGAGAACTTATGAATACCTGCATCTAATCGTGGAGTAGATTTTTGCAATTATTAACAGAAGGTATAGGAATTTACAAAGTTGCAGGCCACAACCACATTTATTTTTAAAATCTAATCCTTTTTTTTCTCTCTCACTGGTATCCTTCCCTTTACATTCTGCATCACAAATTAAACTGCTCTGAGAAGGCATCGATTTACAGGAGAAAAAGTACTGCTCTCCAATGTTCATCCAGGTGCAATTATAAAGGACACAAAGCAGTGCCTCTTTGAAGATAATTGAATACACTGGAAAAGAAGTTGTTTATTAATGATACTTAATTGAAAGCACGAATATACAACTGTTTTATTTACCTTTGTATTCATAAGGTTCAGAATCTGATACTCTAGATGTGTTTTTCAGTGTAATTCGCGTGTCTGAAACATGTTTCACAAGTAGTATAATTAGCATCATGTAAGGTGTTTGTAAAGACATCTTTCTTTGCTTTTATGTAGGTTTAGTTTTTTTTAGTTCACTTCATCAGTGGTAATAACTCTTTAAATAAAAGAAAAGGCTACAAATGCTTGAAATCTGAAATGAAAACAACATGCTGGTGAAACTCAGGTCAATCTTGCCCAATTAAAGTGTCCTTTTATGTATTCACATCAAACAATAAGGTAAAGTAATTAAAAAGTTTTGAGTTGAGAAAAGAGTTTAATACCCGTCAATTTTGGAAAAATATTGCGATGTAATTTCAAACATTATAGGCAGTCACACGTGCGCAAGTGTACGTATGTGTTTAGGAACAGGAGTAGGCCACTTGGCTTTTCGAGCCTGCTCTGCCATTCAATAGTATCAAGGTTGGTTTGATAATTAATAAATTCTACTTCACATTTCTGCCTGTGTTACCAAGTATTTATCTAGCTTTGCCTTAAAAATATTCAAAGACTGTGCCTCCACTGCTTTGTGAGCATTTCAAAGACTTAAGATGCCTTGAGAGAACAAAAATACCTCTTCTGTCTTCATTGGGGAACCGTCTACTTTAAACAGTGACCATTAGTTATATAGTCTCCGGTAATAGGAAACATTCTCTCCACAACCACCATGTCAAGACCTCTCAAGATTTTACATCTTTCAACAAAACATATATTAGCTTCTAAACTCTAAACCTGTCCAATGTTTCCCCACAAGACAACCAAGCCACTTCTGGTATTATTCTACTAAACTTTATCTGAAGTGGTTACAATGCGATTATATCCTTCCTTAAATAAACAGAACAATATTGTGAATATTATGAAAGGTGTATTCTCACCAGTGCCCTGTATAAATGAAGCATAACCTCCTGACTTTTGTATTCAATTCCCTTGCAATAAACAATAACATTTTATTAGCTTTCCTAATTACAAGCTGTACCAGATACTAGCCTTTTGCAATTGCCTTGATCATGGGTCACAACGTCAAAGTGCTGTGAACATTTATTAGATCTTAACAAATTGGCGAACCTTGCCTAGGATCTAGTCATAACAAATGGGTGGGCTCTTGCTGTGATTTGAACCCGCAAACAAAACAAAAGAATTACAGTGGATAATTGTCACTTTTTGAAATGAATTTTAAAGGGGAAAATTGCAAAAAGGCTTTCTTGAGCTTGCATTACTATAGTATAGAAATGGCTACATTTCTGTGTGATCCTAGCAAAATTAGTTACTTCTGAGGAATTAAAAGTTCCATCCCTAAAGGAAAGAACAAGGAGAAAAGGATTCAGGAAAAAATGAAAAGGAAGGAGTTTGAACTAAAACATGAGCTGAAGAGCAGGAACCCTCCTCTGTCCCATGAAGACATCAGTGGGGCAAGCCTGAGAGTGGAGGTAACTTGGGTTGCTCATTTAACTTTAAAGTTTGATGAGGTAGAGATTGAAGCATTCTTTCCCTTTTCAGCAGGTGGCACAACAGTAAAGGTGGCGAGTCTATCAGTGGTTGTTTTTGCTGCAGAGCACGCTTTGAGGAACACGAGATTTACTACTTTTTGCCTGAGCTTAAGTGTAGCCGACCATGAGGCAGTAAATACTCTCAAGTTTGTATCAGTTAGTGCCAGAGATACACCATCCAAAATGCCATACCTTCAGGAAATGGCCTGGGCAGACATATCTGCTATTTGGAAGGCTTAAGGGCAAGGGCACTTTAAACAGAAAACTCCGTAAAATAATTTCCCTTGATCTCAAAATCTCCCAATAAGATTACAGTGACTAGGTCAATGCAGGAAACCACAATGGCTGATTGAGCTGATTACACACAACCCTGTTCCAGATGAAATCCTCCTTAATCAACCCAAACAACTGGAAAGGACAGAAGGAAGAACTGACAGAATATGGAGCATCTACAGGAGCGAGGAAAATACTAGGAGCCTTCATCAGGACAAAGTTCTTGAGCTGAAAGATGAGGCCAAGAAGCTGGAGCTTCAGGTTTCAAAGACTGTGCAGCAGCTGAAGACACTGCTGCATCTGCAAGGCTGAGAGTTACATGGATAGCATATTTAGAGAGGCAGTCACACTGCATCTCAGGGTACCAGAGGAGAGAAGAGAATGGGTGATATCCCAGGCAGGTAATGCAGGAGTCCCCTGGGGTCCTGCTAACCAACTGGTATTCCATTTTGGAAGCTGGTGAGGGTGCTGGTACATCAGAGTGCAGTCAGAGCCAAATGTCTGGCACCACAAGTAGCTATATGATATGGTACATAGGGGAGGAAGAAGAAAGGGAGATCAATAATGATAGGGGATTCTTTAGTAGGGGAGCAGACAGGTATTTCTGAAGCCAAAGAGCTCCAGGAATGGGATGTTGCCTACCTGGTGCAAGGGTCAGGAATGTTACTGAATGGCTGCAGGGCATCCTGAAATGGGAGGGTAATGAGTTTGAGATCATGGTACATGTTCGTTCCAATGAAATGGGAAAAGTGAGGAATCAGGTCTTGCATCAAGAATGCGGGGAGCTAGACAGTAGATTAAAAAGCAGAGCCTCAATGGTCATAATCACCGGATTTTTCCTGGTGCCATGTTCTAGTGACTATAGAAATGGGAAAATAGGACAGCTGAATGCACGGCTCAAAGTTGGTGCAAGAGGGAGGGTTTTAGATTCCTAGATTCTTCCATTTTCGCAGCAGCAGCAGCCAATACTTACCTTGTGGAAGCAGTGGCCTCCATTTTCGCAGCAGCAGCAGCGGGAGTGGTGACGGCAAGGACCAGGGGCCTGCCGGGACGGTAAGTTCTTCATTTCGGCAGTGGAGCTGAGTGGGAGTGGTCAAATTGCACTCTGGGAAAGTGAGTGAACTGATATATTTGGGCAGTGGCTAAACCCGAGACACTGTGGTGTGTTGATAAGGCAAGGTTTTTCTTTTGTTTTTTTTATCGTGTGCTGGTGAGTAGAGTGATTGGTAAAAATTTTTTCATTTCATTTATCTATTATTTGATATTATAGTAGGACTAAGCTAATCTTAAGAGTAAAAATGGCAGGAGATCCCAGACCCGTGTTATGCTCCTCTTGCTCAATGTGGGAGTTCAGGGACACGGCTGATGCAGGAAGTGTGTCCAGCTGCAGCTCTTGTTAGACCACATGACAGCTCTGGAGCTGCAGATGGACTCACTTTGGAGCATCCGCGATGCTGAGGAAGTCGTGGATAGCACGTTTAGCAAATTGGTCACACCGCAGATTAGGATCGCTGAGGGAGAAAGGGAATGGGTGACCAAAAGGCAGAAAAAAAGCAAGAAGGCAGTGCAGGTGTCCCCTGCGGTCATCTCCCTCCAAAACAGGTATACTGTTTTGGATACTGGTGGGGGAGATGGCTTACCAGGGGAAGGCAGCAGTAGCCAGGTTCATGGCACCGTGGCTGGCTCTGCTGTACAGAAGGGCAGGAAAAAGAGTGGAAGGGCTATAGTTATAGGGGATTCGTTTGTAAAGGGAGTAGATAGGTGGTTCTGTGGTCGAAAACGAGACTCCCGAATGGTATGTTGCCTCCCAGGTGCACGGGTCAGGGATATCTCGGATCGACTGCAGGACATTCTGAAGGGGGAGGGTGAACAGCCAGCTGTCGTGCTGCATATAGGCACCAATGATATAGGTAAAAAACAGGATGAGGTCCTACAAGCAGAACTTAGGGAGTTAGGAGCCAAGTTAAAAAGTAGGACCTCAGAGGTAGTAATCTCAGGATTGCTACCAGTGCCACGTGCTAGTCAGAGTAGAAATGAAAGAATAGGCAGGATAAATGAGTAGCTTGAGAGATGGTGCAGGAGGGAGGGGTTCAGATTTTTGGGACATTGGGACCGGTTCTGGGGGAGGTGGGACTATACAAATCGGATGGTGTACACCTGGGCAGGATTGGAGCCAATGTCCGAGGGGGTGCTTTTGCTAATGCTGTCGGGGAGAGTTTAAACTAATGTGGCAGGGGGATGGGAACCAAATGAGGAGGTTAGTGGACAGTAAGGAGGTAGTAACTAAAGCCTGTAAGGAATTAGATAATGAAGTCAGTGTGACTAAGGGGAAGAGTAGGCAGAGAGCAGATGATGAACGCAAAGGGACAGGTGGTCTGAGGTGCATTTGTTTTAATGCAAGAAGTGTAGTAAGTAAGGTAGATGAACTTAGGGCTTGGATTAGTACCTGCGAGTATGATGTTATTGCTATTACTGAAACTTGGTTGAAGGAAGGGCAAGATTGGCAACTAAATATCCCAGGATATAGATGCTTCAGGCGGGATAGAGAGGGAGGTAAAAGGGGTGGAGGAGTTGCATTATTGGTCAAAGAGGATATCACAGCTGTGCTGACGGAGGGCACTATGGAGGACTCAAGCAGTGAGGCAATATGGGCAGAGCTCAGAAATAGGAAGGGTGCGGGAACAATGTTGGGGCTGTACTACAGGCCTCCCAACAGCGAGCATGAGATAGAGGTACAAATATGTAGACAGATTATGGAAAGATGTAGGAGCAACAGGGTGGTGGTGATGGGAGATTTTAATTTTCCCAACATTGACTGGGATTCACTTAGTGTTAGGAGTTTAGATGGAGCAGAGTCTGTAAGGAGCATCCAGGGGGGTTTTCTAGAGCAGTATGTAAATAGTCCAACTCAGGAAGGGGCCATACTGGACCTGGTGTTGGGGAATGAGCCCGGCCAGGTGGTTGAAGTTTCAGTAGGGGATTACTTTGGGAATAGTGATCACAATTCCGTAAGTTTTAGAATACTGATGGACAAAGACAAGAGTAGTCCTAAAGGAAGAGTGCTAAATTGGGGGAAGGCCAACTATAGCAAAATTCTGCAGGAGCTGGGGAATGTGGATTGGGAGCAGCTGTTTGAGGGTAAATCCACATTTGATATGTGGGAGGCTTTTAAAGAGAGGTTGATTAGAGTGCAGGACAGACATGTCCCTGTGAAAACGAGGGATAGAAAGGACCAGATTA